AACATTCTCCCTCCCCTCCCTCCTGAGGGTCATGGTGAGGGCTTTTGTTAGCCTGGTCCTCATGTGTGTGCAAATAGATGTAAAAGCTGACTGGAGATCACACTGGAAGACTGAAACTTGAGAACAATTTATCTAACTTTTTTTTTTTTTAGCTCTGTTTTCCTCCATTGTGGTTTTCTTCCACCAGAATGGATGTTCGTATTAACGCTGCTCACTTTAAGCTCTGGCACCTTCAATGATGAACATGCCTTAATCATCTTTGGTTTCAGGTTTAAGGAGTGTTACTGGACATCTTGAAATAGGATTCTGTGGAAAGTTTATCATAAACTGGTAATATAGTAACTGTTCTTTTTGATGGACCTCAGTTTTATTCTGACTGGATTGACAAGCTAACAGCTGGTCTGAGTGGGACTTAGACTAAAGTTGTCATAATGTTAGATGTTTCTTTTTATGTTATGGTTTCTGTACTTTGAGTTTGTTATCTGTTTCTTTTATTATTTTTTTGTAGTTTTATTCTGTTCAGTTATGCTTAGCTCAATGCGTTCAGCTCCAGTCTCACCCGACAGCTGCATGATGCCCTTCCCACCTTTGCTGGAAAAGGCGGGAATCACTGTGGTTACCAGTGGCACAGTACTCATCCTCCCAACTACTTCTACGCCTGGTTTTCTCCTGGAATTGTACTCAAGTTAGTGTCACTTTAGCTTCTTGTTTGTTCACCTTAGTTATTGAAGGTCCTGGTCCAGCTCCTGGTCTCTGTCTTGTCTGTTTGCATTTGTTGGGGTCCTGGTTTCACGGCTAACCATGACAGAAACAGACTGCTGCTGTCTTGAAACAAATCTATGGTTTAAATTTTCATAACGATTAATGCAAAGACTTTTTGTTAGCCATTAAACTGCCATCAGTTTCACATTGTACACTTATTTCTGCAGAAATATTAAAATGTCCCTGCACTTGCAAAAAACTGAATACGGTGTAAATAATATTGTAATGCAGAATCTACGGCAATGTAAAAGTTTATAATCATGGTGTTTGGAAAATAATTTAGTGTCCACTTTGTTTTTGGCCATGCACATACACGCTCTTAGCTCTTTCAGAATGGCTTGTTCGTAACCTTCTCACAGAGCCCCACATCAACGTATAATTTATTATCTATGATTATGATGGTATGAGGGAATCTGGAAATGCATCGCCCATTTCCTGGTCAAACTGGTGTTTTTCTTTCTCCATGGCTGAATGATGGGCTCTGCAGCTCCTTGTTTCACTGCAGGGACGTGTAAATACAAAAAAAGTTCCTCAGATGAGGAGTAGAAACATTATTTTTACATTCAGTGTTGGCGTTTGTAACGCGACTTGTTTTCTGAGGAAAGCGTTTTCTCAGGACGTCTGTACATCCTTTGATGTGAGCTGGATAACTTACGAACAGTGGAATGCCATTCGTAACTCAGACTGATGTTTAGTTTGTGTGAAATCTTTAACAACAGGTTTGTCTTGTTACAACTGTAAAAACAAGGTTTATTTTGTCTGAAATAAACATTTATTATACAAAGTATGATACCGAAACAAAAAATTGTTTCTCCTATTTTCCTCCCTCCAGAGAAAAACACTCTCCGTCCAAATGTCTTTTCTGAGAGTGGAAGAAAAGTAGCTTAAAGAGAAGCAGTGAATCCACAAGTCTTATCCTAAGTGCACTAAAACTGCACAGAGCTGACCTTGTATGATCAAATAACTTCAAACTAGAGAAAATGCCTTTCTTGTGAAAATGAAGTGTGAATTCTTGTTGCAGAAGACTGTTTAAAAACAGCTAAAACTGGCTAAAACATGCTGAAATGAAGAACTAGGCTAAAGTAGCAGAAGAAAGCAGAAATAAAAAATATTTGCTTAGTTAGGTTTAAATAAGCAGAAAGGAGCACAAAAATTAGAAAATCAGCTAAAAATCTAATAATATCAAAAATAGCTGAAAAGTAGCTTAAAAGGCAAAAAGAGACTTAAAATACCAGAATGAAGCGGAAAGAGCTGAAATGAGTTCAGAAAGGTGAAATTAGATGAAAAAGCAAAATATAGCATAAAAACAGCTAAATAGTAGCTGAAATAGCAAAAACTAGCAGAAAAAAGCAGAAACGAGCAAAACAGGCTGAAATTAGCATATAAGTTAATTAGTCTGAAAGTAGCAGAAATTACCACGAAAAAATTGTATTTAACTGAAAACAGCCAAAATTAGCTACAAATGCTGGAAAGGTAGCCGAAAATGTAGAACAAGCTTAAATTAGCATAAACAGCAGAAATAACACATTTGCACAATTAGGCTGAAAAAAGTAGAAATGAGCACAAAAATGGAAATTATCTGGGAAAATAGCTGATGAAAAGTAGCTAAAAAGGCAGAAAGAAGTAAAATTACAAGAAGTGGAAAGAACACATTTTTTGCTAAATTGAGCTGAAAAGTACATTTGTGTGAAAAAAAGGTAAAATTAGCTGAAAAAAATTAAATTAGATTAAAAATAGCTGAAATGGTAGAAAAGCTGAAATTTGCAGGAGGAGCATAACAAGCCAAAAATGGCAGAAATTTAGAAGAAGCACAAAAATGTTTTAGTTGGCAGAAATAATCTGAAAGCAGCACAAAACAGCTAAAAAATACAGCTGAAATTAACTGAAAGTAGCTGAAATTTTTTTAAATTGGCACAAAGAAGCTGAACCAGAAGAAAATGTGAAAGGAGCAGTAAAAGGTTATAAACAGATCTAAAGATTTGAAGGATGTAAAATGAGCTCAATTGATTTTCTATGAGAAAAAAATGGCAGAAAAGGCTAAATATTTCAAAAAACTAAAGTTGCACCAAATACCAAAAGTCATAGGAGGATTGTCCTTAAAGAGCTGAATGTTTTGATATGAATTGTTGAAATAATTGAAAACTGCGGGACGAAAATTGCGCAAAAAATATACGGAGGGAAAATGGATCACAATAGTGTGAATGCTTCATAAACATTCACACAACAAGTTAAAGACATTCCCAGAACACATGATCACATTGATAACTCAAAGTCCATCTATGGGCTCCAGGAGGTGAGGTGAACGCACAGGAAGGGCGTAAAGAGTGTGAAGATGATACCAGGAGCTATAAACATGATGAGGACGAGAAGCGGGGGTTCGTGGACTTGTGTGCAGAGAAAGAAGTATGTATGGTGGACCTTCAGGAAAACCTCATCCATCAGATACGTTTGACCCGTGCACCAACTCTTCAAAGCGCCGGTATTGACACAAAAACTCAGGTTGTCGTAGAATCTGCAAAAAGACAAGAATGAGACAAAAAAATAAGTTATTTTCCTGAGTTTAAGTGATGAAATGCTTGAGCTGTCTGAACATTTAGCTACCACCAGTTTCATGCAGCTCATGATGTTTACACATGAAAATATTTTGTTTTTGTCTTTTTTTCCACTCATTGTGTCTCTCACTGCTTCTAGTTGTCTCTTATGTCCCCTCAGAAAGCAGAAAGTACCGATTAAAACTATTTTTCTGCTCCCTCTTTCCCCTTTTACACTGAACACGAGGGGCCTGTTTATGGGGTGCTGTTTGTAAAGTTACAGTGATAAATTAACAGCAGTATTTTGATTTATTTAGCCTTTCATAAGAAAAAAAGTGTGTGTGTTTTGTCATATTTTCACCATGTTATTCATACATTTATAAATGTCATAGTTCCAAACTAAATATTTAATTTATAATCTAAATTTGTAGTTTACAAACTAAATACTTAACTTGCAAGTGAAATGTTTAGTATCACACTAAATAGTTAGTTTACAAACTAAATGTTTATATCCAAGCCAAAATGTATAATTTACAAAACAATAGCTTGTAAGTTAAATATTTAGTTAATAAACTAAATATTTTGAAGTAAATCAATGTTTAATTTCCAAGCTAAATTTTTATTGTCCAAACTACATATTAAATTTCCAAATTAAACATTTAATTTTTAAGCTAAACATTTAATTCCTAAACTAAATATTTAATTTGCTAACTAGATATTTAGCTCAAACCTAAATATTTATTTTCCAAACTAAACATTTAATTTCAATATATTTTTTTTTTGTTAACTAAATATTTAGCTCGGACCTAAATATTTAATTTGCTAGCTAAATATGTAGCTTGCTAGCTAAATATTTAACTTTCAAATTAAATATTTAGCTCAAACCTAAATATTTAGCTAATATGCAAGCTAGCTATCTAGCTAAATATTTAGCTAGCAAGTTAAATATTTAGGTCCGAGCTAAATATGTAAATAGCAAATTAAATATTTATTTTGGAAATTAAATGTTTAGTTTGGAAAATAAATATTAAGGTCTGAGCTAAATATTTAGCTTGCTAACTAAATATTTAACTTGAAAGTTAAGTATTTAGTTTGTAAAATAAATATTTAACTTGTAAATTAAATATTTAGTTAGGAACTATAACATTTATAAATGCATGAATAACATGGTGAAAATATGACTGAAAAAAACTTTTTTTTTCTTATGAAAGGCTAAAGAAAGCAAAAATACTGCTGTTAATTTTTGACTGTGTAACATTACAAACGGCACCCCATACAGGGGCCGAGATGGTGTAGGGGTAGGGCAGCCGACCCAGGACCCGAAGGTCCTGGGCTCGATCCCCAGTCATTGCACATCTTGTGGTGTCTCTGAGCAGGATACTCAATCCCGAATTGCTCCCCAAGCACCTACATAGCTGCCCACTGCTCCACCTGGGTGTATCCCAGGTGCGATAGGTTACTGGTAAATGCAGAAAGACAATTTTGTCTTTGTATGGGAACATACAATGATGACAGCACATAGCACTTTATTTATTTATTATTTATACCTCTTTACCGTGTAGGTTTCGACACAGTAAACTTAAAACTCATTAAAACTCATATTTGCCTTTTGACATGGGGCCACGGGCATCTGTCCTGGTAGCCGCTGTCTTCCATGCTGCTGTTGAAGTTTGACAGACAGCCGTCCACCTGAAAGTTGAACCGGTTCTGGTCACACAGCGTTACAACTCCAACAGCATTTCCTGGAGAAACAATCACGGCACAGAGGAGCATATCCATTATCTGTTAGCCGGAAGTGTTGGGAAAGACTCTCAGCTACTACCATGTCAAGCTTTAGCTCAATAACTGCAAAACTGACTGAGTTGTAGCCTTTTTTTGGGCTTGCTAACGTCGATTAGCTGTGGTGGCCATCTTGAATCAAAACAGCACATCTTTAAGTGGTTGTTGTCAAGCATTTCTTGTGTTTCTTTAAATCTCTGTATCATTTCAATAAAGTGCTGCCATGTTTTATAAGAACCACACACCTGATCGCTGTTTGACCTGTGCACCTGTGTGTGATGACGTTACCTGTCCAGGTGAAGATAAGTGCCGGCAAAACAGCAGTCAGCATCATCTGTTCAAAGATTTAGGGACAAATACATGAATCTGTATCAGCTGCTGTCGTTATACAAATACGGTGATGTGCAAAAGACTTGATCCATCCTTTGTTTTCCTCAGTTTAAGAGATTGTTTGCTCTGCAGGCTTTCTGAAGGTCATTTAAAACGTTTTCTTTAGACTTTTACTAATTTTCCCTTTTTTTCTGAGACATGTTGTTGTGTTTTTTTTTTGTGTTGTTTATGAAGTCACTTCACTCATGAATGTCAAACCATAATAGATTATCAAAGAACCCAATTAAAATTGTAACATTGGACTTTTTGTCCCCAGTCCAGACTGAGGAAACAACTTGAAACTGAAACATCTTGTGTGACATCGCGTGCGCCGCAGTATGGTATCACTGACGGGAGCGCCGTCTCGACTCGCTCTTTTTTTGTTCCTGTGGTTTTTGTTTTAACTTTTTTTGCACCTACGCTGTACACCCACGCTATGGGTATGACCGCAACGCACTTTTGGAGTTTTGTGTGTCGCTGCCTTGCCATCGTACCGTCGTCCCATCGTGGTTCAGTTCCCGGCCCCCTTCCCGCCTCGGGCTCAGGCTCTGCCCTGTCATGGCGGCCGTCGCTATGATCCTGTCGCTGCTCAATGTGTTACGGAATCACAATCCATAGTATCAGCTTATTTGCGCATGCGCAAAAAGGAATACTTCTGGGTCGCACGGATCACCTTTGTTTATGAAAAAGAAATGTATTCATTTACTTAGAAAAGTACGTGCTCTATCGTCGCCGATGTTCATCTTGCTAATTTACGCCACTCGTATTTCCGTTCAAATCTTTGACATATTTACGTCATTGGTTAAAATGATATGTGACGCATTAGACATGACCCCCAGCCTGGGCTGAATGAGAAACCCCTGCAAGATACAGAATGAATTATTTCCACGATGAAACAGCGCCGCTCAGTGGTGAAACTGCATATCATTTTAACCATGACGTAAATATGTCAATGATTTTAATGGAAATACGAGTGACGTAAATTAGCAACATGAAGAGTGGCGGAGATAGAGCACATACTTTTCTAAGACAGTTCTTGTCTAAGAAAATTAATCAATATATAGAAAGATATTTTAAGTAATATTAATAAATATGGTACGTTTCATAAATATGTTTTATTAATATCAAGTAATTATTTCCAATATATTTTCCTTAATCTAGCATATTCAACTGTAATCCGTGTGACCCGGAAGTACTCCTTTTAGCACATGCGCAAATGAGCTTTCATTCAAGCTTTACAAACTTTAGCTACACTACAGATCGTGCTTCCGTAACAGAACGGGCAGTGACACCTCCATCTGCCTGCACAGACCAAACTCTATGGAGCAGTTCGATTCTGCGTGGTAATCTTGGATGTTCTGTGTCTGCCGGACTTGGTTCTGGAGGGCAGTCACTGTCCATTGCTGCGGTCATCATTATCATCATGCTGCTAACGGGACCGCGATGCTAACAAGACCACACCCCTAAGAGAGCCACACTGCTAATAGGATCATGCTGCTGTAGATGTATTTCTTTTTCACTTTTGGCGCTTTGTTTTGTATTTTTGTTTCATGCTTTTGGTATTTCTTGTTGTTGTTTTGGCGAGTCGAGATGGTTCTTCGCGTCCTGAGCATTTCATTGCATTGTTGACCTTGTGTTGATCTGCATACGAGAATAAACCTAAACCAAAATGTGTCTGGATGATGCAGACAGGTCTTATGACCTGTGTTCAAATCATTTACATGGTAATTCAGCCATATTGTTTTTAAACTTGTTTCTCTGTGCAGCGTCACCGCAGAGCTGGTGCCTATCGCTTGTGGTTGTTGGGCGAGAGGTGCACCCTGGACATGTCTTCCCAGAGACAAACATTTAATCTCGTCTAATGTCAGTTTAACCAAACGTGCACGTTTTTCATGCTCTATGCAGAACGGCTCGTGTTTGGGACCTTCTGCTGTGAGACAGCGCTGCTAACCGACAGCCCACCGTGCTGCTGCACAGGTGGGAACAGATCATAAATCGTTTCATCTTGTTTTTGATTCATCCAGAGCTGCTCATTACTGTGTTTTTTATTATCTAAACATTTGTAAAATAAAATGTCTCGTCTTCTCCTCCCTCTGAACTGCAGGGCTGAAACATGACCAACAAACAAGGTGAACTGAACTAGAAGGTCTAAACTTGTTATTTATCTTAAATCATGCCGTAAAAAGTGAGCTGTCTTATACGCTGCTCACTTTTTATTGTTTGCACACGACTCAAACAGTAGTTCTGTTCAGAAATATCCATCCATCCATCCATTATCTTTACCCGTTTATTCCATTTTGGGTCACGGGGGTCGCTGGTGCCCATGTCCAGCAATCACTGTGCGAGGGGCGGGGTACACCCTGGACGGGTCGCAAGTCCATCACAGGGACACATAGAGACAAACGAGACAAACAACCATTCACTCTCTCACTCACACCTAGGGACAATTTAGAGTTACCAATCAGCCTAACATGCATGTTTTTGGTCTGTGGGAGGAAACCGGAGTACCCGGAGAAAACCCACGCATGCACGGAGAGAACATGCAAACTCCACCCAGAAGGCCCCTGGACTGGGGTTTGAACCAGGGACCTGCTCGCTGAGAGGCAGCAGCTCTATCAGTTGCGCCACCGTGCTGCCCTGTTCAGAAATATTCATTTATAATTTGAATGTATTGAAGGTTGTGACGAAGTTGCAGCTGCTGTCCGTTTTCAAATAGTTGAGGGAAGAGACAGGAAAACACCTCCATCTTCTGCTGCTTATCTGTGGTCGGGTCGTGGAGGCAACAGGTCCAGAAGAGAAACCCAGACTTCACTCTCTCCAGAGACAACTCCTCTTGGGGGAACTCAAGATGTTCTCAGATCAGGTAGACGATATAAACCCTCCAGTGAGTTCTGTGTCTGTCCCTGGTCTCTTCCTAAAGGGACGCGCTCAGACACAAAATGGAGGCGCCCAGGAAGCATCCTAATCAGATGAACCTCCTCAACTGACTCCTGTCAATGCAAAGGAGCAGCAGCTACTCTGGGCTCCCCTGAATGACGGAGCTCCTCCTTCTTTTGCTAAGGCTGAGCCCCCCGACCCTGCGAAGAAAGCTCATTTCAACTGCTTGATCCAGGATCTCATTCTTCATGAACATGATCCCAACCTCATGACCACAGGTGAGGGTTGGAATGTAGACTGACCTCCAGAGTCTTGTGTTTTGACTCAACATTTTCTTCACCGTGACCGACTGAAGCAACGCCCTCAATACCAAGGATGAGGCCCCAATCCATTGATTTATCTCCCGCTCCTTTCCACCATCAATAGAGATGCTAGCTACTTAAACTCTTCCACCTGAAGGAAAAAATGTGACCAACGGACAGATGGACAGACCCTGACATCAAATAAATGTTATGACAGTGCTCTGGATGATGTCACCCATCATTTCAGTTGCAGACATTTATTCCAGCCAGCTTTATTCATGCAACACCTGATGGAATATTCTGCACGATTATGAAGCAGGCTACATCCAAGCTGAAGTACAGAAACCTCATTATTCTCCATTTAGTCCTCTGTATAGTGTTCACGATGAATGGCTGGGAGGAAGGGTTTCCTGTAGTGCTCTGTGGAGCACTTCATGATAAAAGCCTCAAAATTGTTCTCCAGTTGACCATTGAAAGCCTGAAGAATTATTAATCAAAACCACTTTAAAGAATTAGAAGGAAGTCTGGCTGCTTAGAAAGAAATTACAAAAAAACGGGGGATGGTCCAAGACTTTTGCACAGTACTCTACAAAATCATCATTTTCTCTGTTCAAAATAAATATGCAATTAAATTATTGAATGCTCGACCAAACCATCAAAGCAGATCACGATAATCAGATATTGTGCCGCTGTTTTAGTGAAAACTGTACTGTAACAAGATCTGTCCCTTCTCGAGCAGGACCGTTTACAGTCCATCTGGTTCCTGAACAATCTAATGGATTTATCTCATAACAGGGAGAATAACAACAGATGTTACCAAAGAAGAAGAAAGGAATATCAGTTTTTACCTGCACACATGTAACGTCTCCAGGAAACAAATGCAAATTATACATAAACATCCAAATCGCTCATTTAATTATAGTCAAAAACTCCACAAGTGTCCATTTGACCAGAACACAACAAATCTGTCCATAAGGATGTAAAGCATGAAACTGAAAATGTTCCCTACCTCAGATGTTTCTGTCCTCCTGGTGAAACCCGAGCCTGTGCTGAGAACGTTTTATAAAAATGAACCGGTCACAGAAATCCTTGCAGCTGATCTGGTCCGGTTTCTCAGAGCTAATTTGATTGCGCAACAGAAACAATCTGCTTCCTTTCCCAGACTGAGCCTGGCTGTTCCCATGTCACCCAAAGGGATGTTCCACCGCTGACTCCCCCCTCCCTCCTCTCCTCCAAAGGACCTTAACCCAGACCTCAGTGTCAACCAGCCCAAATGGAGTGATTTTATGTTTTATGGGAGGACTTTTCCCAGTCAGGATCACTCCGCTGGGAGCAGAAAAAAACTACAACAAAGGAAATGAAGAGTTTTCAAACCAAAGTAAATCTGTGCAATGATGTTTTTGTATTTATGGCATCATTTTACATTTAGTTTCTTCAAAAAAGTCACCTTAGATCTGGCAAAATGTTCCTGTTCTAATAATCCATGGTGAATTTCAAAGCTTTTCCAGCTTCTTCTCATTGGGAAATCTCATCACTCATCTCACGGGAAAGGACAAGATTTTAGCGATACTTTAATTTATTTATTTAAAAACCTTTTTTGGAAACTGGTGGGCCCTTAGTGAGATCTATACACTGCTCAGTTCACACCATGAGACCAGTTTGGACTTCCTTAAACTGAAATGGGAAATGGACCTGGAGGAGTTCATATCAGACTCAACCTGGAGAAAGATCAATAAGAACATTTACTCATCCTCAGTCTGTCTGAGACACGCTGTAATCCAATTCAAGGTGGTGCACTGGCTGCACTGGTCCAAAGACAAACTGTCCACGATCAAAGCCAACCTGGACCCCGCATGTCATCATTGTAAACAAACTCCAGCTACACTCCTGCATACATTCTGGACCTGTCCCAAACTGCAGACCTTTTAGCAATCTATTTTTGACACCTTCTCTGGGATATGTGGCAAAACTGTGCACCCATCACCACTAATCTCTCTGTTCAGGGTGGTCCCTGTGGATATGTTCTTCAGCAAGCACAAGAAGGATGTGATTCCTTTTGGTTCTCTCCTGGCCAGAAGACTGGTTTGTGCAATTGGAATGACCCACATCCTCCAGCTCATTGGATAAGACAAGCGATGTATCATATCCATCTAGAAAAATAAAATATACTCTGAAGAGTGTGTTAAAAGATTTTGGGACATGTGGCAGCCTTTTATGTTGTATGTGGAAAAACGTGTGTCTGTGTAGTTCATTTTAATTCATTTATGCACGTGTGACTGATCCGGTGTGGGAAGTTTTTTTATGTTCTTTGTTTTTTGTGTTTTATATGTTCAAAATGGAAAATTAACAAAAAGGCTGATTAAAAAAAGCTTTTTTCCCCTAACTCTCTAAAGTCTTTTGACTGGATTAGGTAGTGGATTTAACAACGGTGAAGAAACTGTAGCCCTCCCGTGGACACAGTCAGGGAGAGGGAACCTTAAAACGGTGAATTTTTGGTTGACTATTTGGTCCCATTTCTTCATTTCTATCCACTGTTCAATCAAAATCAGGTTTGAGCCCTTGTTATGTTTTGTTGTTGTCTGAAATAAAACATGAAAACTTCACTTCAGTTTTGATTAAAACAAATAGATTGTTGTTGCTGGTGCAAAATAAAATCTCAATTCTATATATTTTTTTAGATCAACACATTCAAAATGTTTTTATTTTAAATATATAAATGTGTTGTTTCCTCCAAAAAGACAAACTTTGTTTTCGCTCTGCACTTTCGGCCTCCCATCCTCAGGGAGGTGACCCACCTCCCTGAGATATTATTGGTTCTGACCAGATGACTCAAACTGGATGTAGCTGAAACACGATGCATTTAAAAAAAAGCGGCTCCGCTCCTCATTTAGCCTCCTAATGGCATTTACTTCACAGCTTTTTGGCTGAGATAAATCAGCAGTCTCCACGGACAATTATCTGCCTCCATATATCCCAGCATCCTCCTCACTCCTCCTTCACTGCATGCTTTACCCTCCTCTGTGACTTCATCCTCCCTAGCAGCTCCATATTGTCCACTCGTGTCCCTCCTCACACATGTCCAAACCATCTATCTCTTACTTTATCTCCAGACCTGAGCTATTCCTTTGACTCCTGTTCGTTTTGGTCCCTCTCAGGGAAAATGTGAATTTTAACGTCCTAGGATCTGGCATCCACATATGCAAGAGTCCGGGTGTTAGGAGGTTCATCTCTGCCACCTTCAGCTCTGCCTCCAAACCAAACATCACAGCAGATTATAAACTGTCCCTTTTTCTCCTGCAGCTCTCCTTCTATCACAAACCAGCCTTGACAACTGTCTCCATCCACCCCATGCCTGCTCTTTCCTCTCTGCTTGATGCTTTGAATGGTTGACTCCAGGCATTCATGTTTCGTTTCATTTGGACTTGGAAGGTAGAACTGTCGAGTTCTAAGTTGAAAAGATGAACTGGAATGACCCCACAAAGTCAGAATTTTAACTCTAAGTCAAATATTCCTGACCAAACCCAACCACAAAATAAAATATGGCTGCCCCTTTCATGAAAAATAAAGAACTTTTTATTTCATCCTCTGCTGGTTTGTCCAGTCGTACAAACAGAACTGTTTCACCTCTACCAGAAAATGTGCTGCCACTGTGAATGCATCATTATCGGCTTGTGTCGGCATCGATGAGCTCAGTAATTGAGCACAACAATTAACAAATCTAACTTGACTACAAATGTTCACTGACGATTTTGGTTTGACTTCAATAATGGAATATATTTTAAAGCTAAACAATGAGAAAGCGTGTGCTTTTTAGGTTTTATCAGCTTTGTTTGGCATTTTGATGTTAAATTTGAGCATTATCAACAACTTTAACACATTTCAGGGACAAACACCTCTTCTTTGTCCGAACCAGGCTAACTGATGACAGCTAAACGGCTGTGTGTCGCACACAGAGCTGCAATAAAACATCACAGCAGCCCTGGAAACCTTCAAGTGCATCCTTTGGTCAGTTAGAGGACAGGAAATGCCATCCTCACACAAATTGTCAGATGTTTCCTGCTTTTGCCCAAAGTCCAAATGGTGCAACACCACCTGACCACCACACTATTGTGTGTGTGTTAAATCACAAGATACAGAGCTCCGACTGAGACAGAAGAGACCAACCTGTAGAAAAAAGTATGTGATGTATAAAAGGTGACTGTTCAGGAACACATGAGGGAGCTGCAGGAAAAGGGATGAACAGTAGTGAGTATGTTGATATTTGAGGGATATATGATAGTCCAGAGGTACAACTGTTAAAGCTTACTTGATGTTCTTCTCTTTCAGGTTTGGACTTGGTACCAGGGGATTCCAGGATGGAGGAGCAGACCAAGGAGACAAGGTAAGTGGAGGATGGTGAGACAGAGTGGCAGGATGAACCTTAGGCTGGATGGCAGATCTTTAGTTTGTTATTGTCTTGTGTAGATGGCAGATAGCAGAGGGATCTAAGAAGAACTCAGAGACTGGAGATCAGGCGATGGAACAAGGCAGAACCAGGATGATGAGGAAACAGATAGCAGGAGATGTAGAGAGCACAAGGAGACAACATATGGACACAGTACAATGAGTTGGACAAGGTTCCAGCAGGGTCAGATGGTCCATACAGCCTTAAGTACTGGAAGCTCCTCATTAGCAGACTGGGGAAAGCTGTAGGCTGTCCTCTCACTCAGGAGCTGCAACAAAGACAGAAGACAAATCTAGAATCACACCAATAGGGCCAATGATCTGCAGCTATAACAGCTTCCAACAAGCAATTTGTTGCAGTTCATGTTAAAGTTGCTCAATGGTACTGAGGTCTGGATTCTGTGTGGGCCAGTAGAGTTTTTTCCACACTAAACTCATCAAACCAGGGCTTAATAGACTTAAATTTACTATAAGGTAAACTATTAGAATCTAATCTATTAGTTTAGATTATAATAGAATAGAATTAGATTATATTAGAGTGTAAAGAAAGTGTGATAAAAAATAAGCTAACGATACAAATATACAGCCAACCTTCCAGCAACTGGTCGTCCAAACCTCCTACCAGTCTCCTCAGGTCCTCCAGAACCTCCAACAACTGGTCTCTTCAGGTCCACCAAACCTCCAACAACTGATCTCCTCGGGTACTCCAAAACCTGCAGCAACTCGTCTCTTCAGGTCTTCCAAAATTTCCAGCAACTGGTCTCTTCAGGTCCTCCAAAACCTCCAGCAACTGGTACCCCCTGGTCCTTAAACCTCCTACCAGTCTCCTCAGGTTCCCCAAAACCTCAAACAACTTGTCCCCTCTGGTCCTTAAACCTCCTTCCAGTTGCCTCAGGTCCCCCAAAACCTACAACAACTCTCTTCAGGTCCTCCAAATCTTCAACAACTGGTCTCTTCAGGTCCTCCACACCTCCAACAACTGGTCGCCTCTGGTCCTTTGAAACCTCCTGCAACTAGTTTTTTCAGGTCCTCCAAACCTCCATTAACTGATCTCCTCGGGTCCTCCAAAACCTCCAGCAACTGGTCTCTTCAGGTCTTCCAAAACCTCCAGCAACTGGTCTCTTCAGGTCCTCCAAACCTCCAACAACTGGTCCCCTCTGGTCCTTAAACCTCCTACCAGTCTCCTAAGGTTCCCCAAAACCTCCAACAACTGGTCTCTTCAGGTCCTCCAAACCTCCAACAACTGGTCTCTTCAGGTCCTCCAAAACCTCCAACAACTGATCTCTTCAGGTCCTCCAAAACTCCAACAACTGATCTCTTCAGGTCCTACAAACCTCCAACATCTGAT